CATTCACGCTTCTTGGTATGTAACCAAACGGATTGAAAACTTCTGGGCACACAAAAACCTGCACGTGGATGTTCATCACGGCTTTATTCACAACTGTCGAAACTTGTGAGCAACCGAGAGGTCCTCCTGCAGGTGAGTGGGTGAACTGCAGCACGTCCGGACAGTGGAATACCATCCGGCTCTCAGAGATCTTAGCTTGATGGAAAAGACATGGAGGAGCCTTGAACGCATGTTCCTAAGTGAAAGGAGCTAATCTGAACAGGCTACGTACTGTGCGATGCCAACTATTTGACGTTCTGGAAAAGGCACAGTGAAGACAGCAGAGAGATGGGTGGTGGCCGGAGGTCCAGGGGCCTGAGGTCCAGGGGCGGGAGGGATGAAGGGTGCAGCACAGAGGATTTGGGGGGCAGTAGAACAACTGAGTGATGGCCAATGGTGGTGGCTACATGTCAGCATATGTTTGTCCAAACCCATGGAACGCACAACACCAAAGTGAGCCCGTATGTGAACCATGTGACCACCATGTGAACTTGGGTGACGATGACATGTCCTTGTAGGTTCACTGACTGTAACAAATGCACCCCCTGGCCTGGGGCAGGTGCCTACGGAACTCTCCGTACCTTCCTCTCCATTTTGCTGTGACCCTAAAACTGCTCTAAAAAAACAAAGTCTAATTCTTTAAAGAAAGTTGTCACTAGGGAACATTGTGATTTTTTTTCTTCTTTTAATTTTCAATTTCCTACCCAATTCCAGAAAATCTAGTCGTGTCAAGTGAAATAAAAGATCAGATAAAATGACCATGAACCTGACATCTTTTCACTGGTTTTGATTTGCAGTTTGACTCTAAACAAAAAGAAAGACCACAGCCATCGTTTTAAAAAGAGGTAATTGACTTTCAAATCACTTTTGAAGTCACATAACTCTTCTAAACAGCGACGAAGAATTTAAAAAAAAAACACAAAAAACGGGGGTTAGATAAGAAACTGCATTTCCTACCAGAGATGAGAGTAAAACTCTGAAATGAATGAAAAGAGGGTGTGAACTCAGCATCTCTGGACACCTGAGGCTGCCCCGTGCAGTGGACATTCACAACAGAGAGCCCGAGTTGGAAGTCCCCGGGGGTTTCCCATCCCGAGGGGTGCCTGGAACCCGATACCCGCTGAGCCGCGGCATGGAAGAAATGAAGGGGAGGTTCTGAAGGAAGCCCGGGCTTGTGCATTCTCATACACTAAAGCTCCGAGTAAAGTTTTATTTGGTAAAATGGTTTTCACTGCTTTTAAAAATAAAAATGAGGAAGGGAGATATTGGGAAACCACAGAACAACTCGATCACCTTTTCTCCTTGAACTTGCAATACTCATTTCTTTCTTAGGACCGGAGCAAAGGACGTGTAACCGCACACAGGGAGGCTGTCACTGTTGGGAGTTGCTTTCCTCAGAGGTGTTAAATGTCATAGATTGGAAAACACAACGGTTCTCGCACGTTGCTTACGTATTTGCGGAGTGTCTGCTCTGTGTCCGGGGTACGGTGGTAAGAAATGCATGATTCCCCACTGCACGGAGCTTAGACTGTTAAGCACGGTTGAAAGGAAATAATGAAAACGTGCCCACGGTGAGCAAAGAAAAGATGGGACGTCTTCCCACAAAACTTCCACGTCTTGGAGTGTGGCCCTCCGTGGACCAGAAGCTCTGACAGACAAGGTTGCTTTTTCTTATTGCCCCAAAACACCGACTTTAGAAAATCCTAATTCCAGCAGTGCCTGGGATTGGAGCCGGCGATGGACAAGACAGTGAACTGACCTGGTTAGTCTTGGGCGGCCCTCAGCCCTTCCTCCCTCCCTTCCCAGATGTGCTCTGTGGAATCCCCTCCCGGCACGACGGTCAAAGCCCCCAACCTGCGGTGCTTGGTGGAATTCCTTTCTCCCTGGAATTTGGGTCTACGTCTGGGTTCCTGAAGACTAAGAGCCTCTACCCTCAAAACAGAAAGCCCCGAATATCACGACCGTGGCCCCCACGACAGCCCAGCGGGAGGGATGGTTCTGAAGGACGCCCCTAGCTGAGGACCAGCGCTGCCTTCTGCAGGCGTCCTGAGCTGGGCTCACAAAACCCAGGTGCGAGCATCCCCCAGGCCGAGCCCGAGAGTGTGGGCTGGGGAGGAACAGCTGCTGCCCCAGCCCCCGCCCCCTGCCTCCCTCCTGGCAGAAAGTGATGGGCACTGTCGGCAAAGCCCGGGACGAGATGAGTCTCTCTGTTCCTCGGTGATCAGATTTGACTCTGATTTGATTTCAGGCGCAGAGAACACAGATGAATCACTGTGCTGGGCTTAATAGAATTGGCGTCCCTGTCTCCTGGCCACGTTCTGACAGCAGAGGGGGTGGGCGGAGCGGCCAGGATGGAGAGCAAGACGGACGGACGTCGGGAGCCGCCTTCCTTCCTGCCCGAGAGCGGGGAGCTCGCTCCCTGCCCCGCCGGGGACACCCAAGGCTGAGGCCTGTTTTGGTGGCCAGGCTGCCCACCATCACCTGAGCTTCTGCGCCACTGCAGTTCCTGCGGCCCTGGCTTCTGGCCACCTGAGGGCGTACTTAGGGATATCAGGCCGCAGGAGTAAGGTGGGCCAGAGAGAGCTGGGCTCTGCCCTGGGAAAGCAGGACTCCTTGTGGGAAGAGACCAGGTGGCTCGTAATATGGGAAATGACCACAATGCAGGGAGAATAGAAAAAGATGGCAGCTGCCAGTGAATGCAGTGAACTCCCCCCCACCCCCAACGTAAAACCCAGCAGCAGACGTGTCCCTCCGAGAGAGAGAAGAGGCCTCTCCTGACTTCCCCAGACTCCTGCCCTGGCTCCTGTGCTGGGCCAGCTCTCGGGAGCCCTCAGAAATGCCGGGGGACATGGACCCGCTCACTGGTGTCCCCACGTGGAAGTCCCAGCAGTCTCAGAGATCTCTCCTCCTTCAAGGAGACAAGTGAACAGATGACTTGATCTCTCCATGTTCTGTTGAACAAAAAATCCTGAAAACAAACGTCAACAACAGGCCGGGCCTAGTGGCTCTCACCTATACTCCTAGCACTCTGGGAGGCCGAGGCGGGAGGATCGCTCAAGGTCAGAAGTTTGAAACCAGCCTGAGCGAGAGCGAGACCCCGTCTCTACTATAAATAGAAAGAAATTAATTGGCCAACTAAAAATATATAGAGAAAAAATTAGCCGGGCACAGTGGCGTGTGCCTGTAGTCCCAGCTACTCGGGAGGCTGAGGCAGGAGGATCATTTGAGCCCAGGAGTGTGAGGTTGCTGTGAGCGAGGCTGATGCCACGACACTCTAGCCCGGGCAACAGAGTGAGACTCTGTCTCCAAAAAAAAGAGATCTCTCCGGGAGACCACCTCCACGCTCATCACGTCCATAGTCAAAGAAAGTCTCTTCTCCCGACCTCCCACGTCTGAGTCCTGCGTCTCGGTCTGGTTCCGTCGGGGCTGGGCACCCACAGCCCCTGTGCCCGTCCCCACCTCTGCCCCCTTGGACCGTGCTGCAATTATCCGTGTGTGTCCGGCAGCACCACCGAGCTGTAAGCTTCCTCCCGTCTCTGTGACCCTGGAACCTCCCTCAGTCCCCAGGGCAGAGATTCCCTTAGGGAACGTTTGTGGGGGTCTCGGTCCTGCTCTCGGTCGCCTGGACAACAAGAAGTTCACCTAGAGCTGCTCCCCACCGAATTCGGTGGAGTTTACGACGAGGACACCACGCTGCCAGGACACGGCAGGGGATCCTGGGCCTTCCCCGCCATTCTTTGGAGGAAGAGAAGAAACGTGTGTGTGGTCACCTGCAGGAGTCAGGCAAGGTGCAGTTTCCACGGCAACAGGGCGCGGGAGAGCGGTGAGGCACAGTCCCCCATCGCCCCCAGCCCTGCATGGGGACTGGCCCAACACGGAGTGGCCGTGTGACAGCCGAGCAGGGGGTGAAGAGCATGCCTGGCCTTCCTCTGTCCGGCGGGGCTGAGGATGAAGGGCGCCCGCCCCTGCTCAGCATCTTGCCCCCCCCCTCGGCCTGTGCCCCAGCACTCCTCTATCTGCTCCTCTCCCCCTGCCTCCGCTGCTAAACCACCCCTAACTCCCATCCTCCCCCGAGGCCATCCCGGGACCATTGTATGGTCTCTGTCACTATTTCTTCACTTTCTTTCATGGCAGTTCGACTGCAGTCACAGCCCCGGTTCCTCTCTTACCCCGCTGTGGGCTGGGACACACCAGGCTCAGCTGGGGGACTTGCCTCGGCTCCAACGGGGTGTGGGCAAGACTCAATGCAAGGGGAGGCTGGGAACCTGGCGGGGCCCCGGGCAGCCTTCCTGCTGCTCCTGCCGCTGGGATACACAGGGCAGCTATGCAAGACGTGAGGAGGGCAGGTGAGCTGCCCCAGCCAGCAGTCACCTGACACCCAGACCTGTGGCCGAGCCCAGCTGGGACCAGAAGAACCTCCCACCCTCAACGGCTGCTCCAAAGAATCGTGAGCTAAATACGTGAGTATGATTCTAAGCCAACTGAGTTTTGGCGTGTTACATAACACCATTTGTAAAAACAGAAAATTGTTCCTATTCATCAACATTTGGTTTAATGTTTGCATTAAATTTTCTTCTGAAGATATGTTTCTCACCATTTTGCTGGTTTTCTTTTCTTTTCTTTTTTGAGACAGAGTCTCACTCTGTTGCCTGGGTTAGAGTGCCATGGCGTCAGCCTAGCTCACAGCAACCTCCTTCTCCTGGACTCAAGCGATCCTCCTGCCTCAGCCTCCTGAGTAGCTGCGACTACAGGCATGCGCCACCATGCCATGCTATTTTTTCTATATATATTTTAGTTGTCCAATTAATTTCTTGCTATTTTTAGTAGAGACGGGGTCTTGCTCTTGCTCAGGCTGGTCTTGAACTCCGTGAGCGATCCTCCCACCTCGGCCTCCCAGAGTGCTGGGATTACAGGTGTGAGCCACCGCCGCCGGCCTCTGGTTTTATTTTCATCTTCTGTGCATTCCAGTCTCCTTGAGAGTGACGAAGCCACACCCCAAGGTGTCCCTCCCTTCCCAGAACCTACTGGAATTAAAAGGGGCCGCCGCGATACAAGGTTTCGAAAGAAGAGCTCACAGGATCCTTGGAAGAAACAACTTGTGAGTTACAACTACTTAGTTATGATCAACAAGTGAGCCCCTGCAGACCTCACTGCCTTAAATATCAATACCTCACGGAATCATCTAGAAAATCAACTCGGAGAGACAATGGTTAAGGGAAAAATTAGAACTTTACAAATGGGCAGCTCTGTTTCTCATGCCTGTGAGTCCAAACTTACCAATCGTCCCTGTGACAAAAAACCAAGAAACCCAAGGTCATAAAAGGTATCGGGAACTAAAGTTCTTCTAGAACATTCAGCGGGATTCCTGGACACCCAGTCTACCCTGGAGTCCCGTCTACAACATCCCTTTGTTCCCTTTCCCCAAATCCGGCAAAGTTATCGGATTCCTGGTGAGATAATCCTCCCTGTGCTCATCCACCCCTGGCTGACGTGTGACCTTTTTTGCCGGAATCGTTGAAAGCCATTAGCGGTTTTATTGTCTCTGATTGCCGACGCTTGCCAGTCGTGCCGTGGCATTTATCAAGCTCCTGTTCCGCTGGGCGAGGAGCACTTCCGGCGTCGGTTTAAACTCCGCAAACTAATTTCCCTTAATTAGAATCAGCTCAGCCTCAACACGCCGGGCTAATGAGCTACTAAAGCGTTTGCCAGGGCAGTCTGCAGCAAAAAGAAACACAGAACTAGCTGGCACTTGGCAAAATGAAGAGGTATTGAACTTTCGGGGGAAGGAAGTCATTTCTCCGACAAGGTTTGGGGGATTGAACCCCACAGGGAATCCAGGGCGCTCTCCCAGGCAGTGGCCTCCTGAGGAGGAGGTGGGTGGCAGGTGGTACGTTGCTTTAACCCTGAGGACCCTGCGTCCCCATTCCCTTCACCGTCACCTTCGTCGCCTGCTACGGCCACGTCCGAGATGGCGTCTGACCAATCCGCAGCCCGGAAGAAGAAAGGCATTCCTTTCTTCTGTGAAATCGTGGGGAAGCCGACTCGCTCCTTGGAGAAACCTCCACCGATGGCTTCATTTTACTGCTCAAGTAGCTTCAGGACAGAGGCTTGCCTTGGAAGCCAGGAGGTCTGCATGCACTTGGGCAGACCACTCCACACCTTAACCTTGGGCTCCAATTACATCTTCAGTAGAATAGGGATCGTGAGACCTCCCCTGCTTTCAAGAACGAAGTTTCGTGCAGTTGAATCTGCCCAAGATCTGCCCCAGGACCGGAAGGTGCGAGCCCCATAGATTGTACCTGGTGGCTGTCCCAACTCGCTCACTCCTCCCTCCCTCCCTGCACCCCTTCCTTGATTCCTCTCTCCTCCCTCTCCTCTCCTTCTTCTTCTTCTTCTCTTCCCTCTTCTTCCTTCCTCTTCCTTCCTTCCTTAACTTTGTGCCCCTCTGGCCAACATACCCCAGCCGGCACACCTCCGCCCACTCTCACTCACGCCATAGTTAATCACAGTTATTTTACTCT